TTCTGTAATGAGATTGGTTTGCTACTGCTGCTGGCGAACTGTTAATCCCCTTTAATATCATATCCTCTAGTCAGCTAGACAACTTACAGGTGGTGAAGTTGAAATCATCCCTTCGTAAGTTTTACGGACGCCATCACGAGTTGGTTGACCGCTATGGAATATCCGTTTCACAGATGATAGCGGACATGTTCCTAATGTCGTAACCACAGTCCCGTCCCCCTTTTCCCGAATGTGACCTACCGAATTAGACTTATTACCGGGTTTGTACTAACATGAGCAACACGACGGTGCCACATGTGGAGCAGGATCTGCTTACCCTTCCGGAGCACCTGAGATCACCCCCAGTTTTTGGTGGGGTTCGTGATGATCAGTCTTTAGTTTATGTTGTGTTTTGTGTACTTTTGTTTGTCTGTTGGTCTTTTTTTCTTTTTAAGCCATGGCGTTGTCGGTTTGTTTTTGACTTATGAGTTTGAATGCCCCTCTGGTAGCTTTCGCCTTTCTTTTACAACAATTAGTCAATAACATAAATGAAAACAAATAATACAGGAGAAACTTGTAAAAGATAACAATTGTACAACAAATAGGGCAGGGAAACCAAACACAACTGCACACACTCCTTGTGTTAAATATGTCAGTGAGAGTTCGACCATCTCTCCAGAATGCTAAAACAGCAGAGCATTACAGTAATCCGTAATTATTGGTTTAGATTGACTTAATTCCACTAATCGGCACTGAGGACATTAACCTCTACAGATATAACAAAGGGCAATACTAGTATTTAACATTTGTTTTTCAAAATGATGGGAAACGCTTGCAATATTTTTTTTTTCTCAATGAAATTTGACTTGATATTGATTGTTACAATATTTTCTTTTAAAATTATATGTCGGATGACCCCAACCTTTCATTTTCAACAACACAGACTATATTTGGATGAAGATTATTGGGAAAAAATATATAAAAGGGATGGTGCTCTTTCAGAAATACATTTAATGATTTAATGATCTTAATTGATATATAAAAAATTAATAAAAATGATGTAAACAAAGGGTGAAACATAAATGTCTTATTTGAAAAACCAGTTCAGAGCATCAAAAATAGAAGTAAACTTATCATTACTGTAAAACTGTTAACTCGCACACGTAGTACCACCTGCTGGATTTTTCATATTCGTTCGGTAATCACTTCTTAATTATTTTTTTAAAAATTAAGATCTATTGACGGTCTGAATGTTTTGGTACTGGTATGTAAAGTAATGTTGAATTTTTTTTTTTTTTTACATATTTTACATATTAAAGAACTTTTAAACGATTCTTTTCATAAATTGATATACAAAATGCTACATCCGGTGTCATATGATAGATAAAATTTTACTGATTCGAAAAATATATGGTTTCTTTATACTTTTGCTTGAAATAAGGGAAACAGTTTGCTTCTTTCGACTTACTTAATGTCCTTCCCGGTTCATATGATAGGTTTCTTCACACTAATTTTAAAAGTATATGTTTTCTAGATTCTTTTACATGAAATAAGTACAAAAAAAGGCTATTTCCTGTTTACATTAGGTCACTTCCGGTTGACTTATTCAAGATCATATGTCGTCTTACTCAATGCAAAAGTTCTTATGGCTTTACCATGTTCCAGTATGAAGTTATAGCAAAGGTTAAAATATTAACATTGACCTCAATTTCAAGGTCAAGGATCTCAAATCAGAAATACATTTAATGATTTTGTATGTATGATTAAGAAGTTATCCTTCCAAACAGCATATTTTGAATATTTAAGGGGAGAAAAATCTTGTAAAAAAGTCACTAGAGCACTTCGATTCAAATGTATTGATGTTCCGTCAAGTGGTATCTTATAATTGGACAAAAGCATTATGTCGATAACTTTTACGGTTTATGAGGAGTTGCAATAACAACACAGTTCAAAATATAGAACATGACATTGACCCTTGAACACAATTTCCTGCTAACCTCATATCAAAATACCCTAAGTCTCTACAACTTAAGGTTTATGAGTTACACCGACATACCATTTATGTCGAACACAAAAAAGGGAAACACCTCTTATTGCGTGTAACCGGATTGATTGGTCCAAATTAACCAGAATGTCCTGACGTGTAACGAGCATTTTGGAGAAATAATTTAAGCAATACCTTAACAGTTTCTGATGAGAATCGATAACAAGAAAAAAACTGTATATGGAAAGAAAACTCCCATGTGCAAAAGTGTTTGGTTAAAAAAGGGTGAGTTTCAAAAGCTTAATAACTGTTCAATATATTATACCAAGTTTCTTTTCGACATGCTACGGAACAAAAGAGACATTTCAAAAACTAAAGTGGCCGAAGAATAAAAAAATAATCAGAAAATGATCAGAACAAAATCAAAACGTCTTTCCATGGAAAGGTGGAAAGTCCTCATTAAAGTCACCAACCAGCACGATTTTCGTTGATCTGAGTGGTCAACTGAATTGCTTATGTCCATCTGTGCCAATAATCTAGGTCAATCCAATGTGCTTGATATGAATTGCATTTTAAGCAGGGGCGGATTTTTGGAAGGAATTGCAGGAAATGGAATATACCGCCTGGCGGAACGAGGCGACATTTATTTGGACAATTTTATGCTAAAAATAATAAATTTTCAAATCAAAAGGAGGGTGATCACCCTCTGCAACCTCCCCCATGAATCCGTCACAGGCAAGAAAGTATTTTGGAATTTGATTCAACCAAAATAACTTCGTCGATGGGATTTTCTAGTTCATGATTTCGTACCATTCGTATACCGTCTTCGGCATATGTAAGCAGACCACCGCCGTACTATATTTTCGCTGATTTATATTTGAAAAAGATTTTAGAAGAAAATTACAATCGTCAATCCGTTGATCAAGATGCGTCTCGGTTAACAATAGAATATCTTTCAGACCAGTAATCAACACTTCTGTTTTGACATGAATTATCAGTTATATGGTCACAAATATAACTGTTTACGAAAATTTGAATTTTTCGAAATATCTTACCAATGTTGTAATTAGATCTTTGAATATAGTTTACATTGGCACAAATATCGATTTTGTCATCAGCAAATTAAAACATAACTAAATTTGTATTCTTTTCAAACGGTTTTTTGGGATGTATGAATACACATCCACGTTCACTTTCTATATAGAGATTACTCTATCTATATATTACATTATACATATCTATTAACAGGTTAATTAACTCCTAACTATCCTACTGCATGTCGATACTTTTATTTTTGCATTGCACAAGTCATGTCTGCTTTGACTGTCCATGACGTTAAAACACTAAAACACTAAATCCCTGGGATGTGTTTTAGTTGACTTTAGTCTCTGATGCATGATTTGTTATTATTAGTTGTTTTTGGCTTTTAACTAGCTTTCAGTAACTGTGTTAATTTGACATGTTGATACAGTTTGTAATGTATTTTTGTTATTTAATGTTTACTTATTCAGTGTTATATCTCGTCTCACTATTTTTAATATATACCACCTTTGATGAGTGTTCAGTATGACGATAAATTTTCACTTTTGTTCTCGAACTAGGAACAACAAAATTATTTATTTTGTAAAAATTATTTCCGTACTCTATGTATACCTTACAACAAAATTATTTGTATTTACCTGTGTACATGGTGTACGTTGTTTTATTTGGCGGCATTTTGTCCAAGGTTATGGTTGTCTTTCTGATACTGTTTTACATCTAACCTCCTTGTTTTATTAATATTGTATTTACATTGTGTCATAGATCAAATTTATTCGTTCAGTGTATGTTCACTTGTTTTTGTTAATATGTCTTTTGATTGAGTTAGCCATATCAATTGATATTTAATAGTGTGTCTTTCTATGTTGTGATGTAACACTATTGTTTCGGTCAGGGTGAGGGTTGGCGCCTGTTGGAACATTTGGACCCGCTGCATTTGTTTGCACCTGTCCTGGGTCGGGAGCCTGGTGTTCATAGGTTGTCGTTTGTTGGTGTGGTTCGTGGGTGTTTCTCGTTTCTCGTTCTTTATATAGATTAGACCGTTGGTTTTCCTGTTTGAATGGTTTTACACTAGTCATTTTTGGGGCCCTTTATAGCTTGCTGTTCGGTGTGAGCCAAGGCTCCGTATTGAAGGCCGTACTTTGACCTATAATGGTTTACTTTTACAAATTGTGACTTGGATGGAGAGTTGTCTCATTGGCACTCATACCACATCTTCTAATATCTACTAAGGACTTTCTACCCCACGAATAGAATACCTTAGCTGTATTTGGCAAAACCTTTCGAAATTTTGGGTGCTCAGTGCTCTTTAACTTTGTACTTTATTTGTCTTTTTATGATTCGAGCGTCACTGACGAGTCTTTTGTAAACGAAACTCGCTTCAGGCGTACAACATTCTAATCCTGGTATCTATGATGAGTACAACAGGCGGTTCCTCCTAAGCAGTCTCATTATTAGAAAAGCTTCCTTCCTGTACTAGTGTGAATTCCTCTGATACTAGCAGTACCCGCAGATGACTGGGATGGACTAGGTACAATCTGTTCAGTGATAGATGAATCACTGACAATACCGGTTCTTGTGCTGATTCTATTATCCCATTCTTACCAGTCAGGTCAAGTTGTATCCATTTCATGTGTCTTCTTAAAGGTTTTATTCTTGGTCTTTGTTTTCGGTTTTAAAGTAGATGTAGATCTGGTCTGTCGCTTAGGAAACCAATGGATAGTATAAAGTTACGATGGATCGTCCTTGAACGTCCCTCTCCATTTTCCTTCCTGACTGTTAATACAGGGATTTTTTAAAAACAGATTTTTAAGAAAAAAATGGTGGGTTGAACCTGGTTTTGTGGCTAGCCAAACCTCCCGCTTTTATTAAAGTCATTGCACTAAACTACTTTGCTCTTCATGGACCCTTTAATTGGAATAAAAGATATCTTATCTTATCTTGTTCAACTCCCCTAATGATCCCCAAGTATCTGTCCCTTGATGTTTTAAAGTTCAAACTTATTAAATGACTACCAAAACGAGGAAGTAAATAAGTCATTCAGTATTTTTGTACATACCAAAATATATTCGGAATTTACCATCTTACTAAACCAACTTTTTGTGAGTTTAATATATAAATAAGTTAACCGATGGAAAGAGGTCAACATAACAGGTCCTACAATAATCATTTCCACAAACTAATATAAAGGTAAGATAAATTCATTTATGTATATATGTTATCGATCATAAACGAATGTCCATTCAATGTATACAGTTATTCTAACAATGGCATTTAGTTATCTCGTTTTTGGTGTTTTCTGTTCTTTATAAGCGACACCTGGTCTGGACATTTTATTATCTTTTGTCTCTTATGTTCTATCGATGTATCTAAGACACTTGAAGGTCTTGATTGATCGCTAACATATTTTATTTATTATTCAAACATTGAAAATGATTTCATGGCCGCCGACCTTGGTACATATTGCTCATTGGCAACATTCATTACTTGGCATCAGCTTCTTATGTTGCTCTGGTCTTATGGTCACTGATGAAACTGCTATACACAAGAATACGATATACATTTACTTTCTATTTATAATTGTCATTTGAATTGTTAAATAGTAACATGTAAGCATGTTATAAATGTACAACTATCTATTCTATTCAATTCTGTTGTGTTCAAATTAATGTAAACATCTGGGTACATACAATATTGCAGTACTTTATTTCAATAACATATTTACTATTTACACACCCTTATATATCAGATAAACATGTAGCTACTCCTGATTTAAAGCACACAATTTTAAAATAAAAATTATGTGTTGCAGTAATACAAAGTTTTCTTAGCTAGTTAAACCTTTATGTACTAGAGCCGAACATTCATGTCGTACTATTTGTTATGTTAAAAAAGAGAAGAATTAGTTAAAATGGAGTCCAGATATATAAAGGAATGGATTTCAACTGGTTTCAAATAACTGTGCACATGACCAAATTGAAAAGGTGACAACTGTGAAAACAGCAGCCAAAATACACCTCATAGTTGAGAACCTTCCAACACAAAAAATCCACATATAGCAATATTGGATCAAGTTTAACATGTTTATGGAACGTATCTCTATAAAACATGGAATATCTTTAATCGAAAATATCTGAGAAAGTATCTCCAAAGTTCCTTGTCGATATAAATAAATTTACCAGTTAAAATAACAAATTAAACCAACCCGCACTGATTGTTCAATTTACATAAAAGTAAAATAACAAAAAAACAGAACTCCGAGGAGAATTAAAAACGGAAAGTCCTATATCAAATGGCAAAATCAAAAGCTCAAAACAACTGTCATATTCCTGACTTGGTACAGGCATTTCCTTATGTAGAAAACAGTGGATTAAACCTGGTTTTATAGCTAGCTAAACCTCTCACTTGTATGACAGTCGCATATAATTCCATTCTATTGACAACAATGTGTGAGCAAAACAAACAATTATAATAGGTAAAAATGTCAGAAATTGGGGTACAGCAGTCAACATTGTGTTATAATCTTAATCACAAACATCTATGTCAACAAAGAAAAACAAAGAGCATATAGACACTCTATAGACAAAGCACATAAGCAAAAATGAAAGACAAGAATAAAAAAAATTACCATAGCACAATAACACAATGGCGGTATGTATAAATACCGAGCCACGCCAAAAGGATATTACAAAAAATGAAGTAAACAGTAAAGGTTAAAAATATACAAAAACAAATAAAAGGAACACTATAACACGTAATTTAGATAATAAACAACGTCAGTACCTAGAATCTATACTCCAAGACCATCATGTATTATTTGTGAAGTTGATACGAAATATTTATCAACAAGGTCTTGGTATCTTCCGATACACTTTTTTTTTTAGAAAAAGGACGAGACGTTCTTTGACATAACCCTGGTTCATCACATTTCTGCTCAGACTCTGTTGACATTTTATAAAGTTTGAGTAGCAGCTGTATAAGAAATTGCTGATGTGAAAGTTTAACTTAAATTCATTAAAATCAATTGCGGGAAGGATTACAATTTTGATTTTAAATAAAATTTACATTTCAAAAAGGCATCACTGACCAAAAACGAAATTATAAAGCATATAGAACTCATCTGAGAATTTAGTGATGAAGTCATCGACCGGATTTGCTTATTAATAAAATCCAAGAACATAAGAGGTTAGAGCGGTTGTTGGTGAATGAACTTCAACGTTTCCAGGACCCCCCCTGTGTTATCCAAAGGCCCGAAATATCGTGGGGGCCTTAATCCATCAGTTGGAAACACACTTCAAAATACAAAATCTTTTCGAATGGGTTTGGGCTGTGAGGTCGTTGATACAAATTAGACTAAAAGAACTGAATGGGTCTATGGATACACATGATACATCGATCTTTAAAACCCAAATGTTGCTACGCACCTGTCCTACCTCCATGACAAATATGGTGTTGTCCCTGCAGATAAAGCCCCAAATCAACATCGTTTTTGTGTTTAAATTACATAACACAAACTGCTTGATAATGGAAGTGACAATTTACTTGGAAACTGAACATATACCCAAAATACACTTACCAAGGAGGACATCCTGAATAATCATAGGTCTGTTCTTCTGGAATTTCAACCAAAGATGAAGAATTTTATCTTCTTTCACTGTATTGGATACCTAAATTACATAACTGTCGTTACAAACAATGTTATATTACTGGGTCTTCCAAATCTTGCACGAAAACTCTTTCTAAAATCATTACATCAATTTTATCAGAAACCAAAGGCGGACTTCAAAGATATTGTGAAACTACATACTCTAGGGGTGGCGTGAATCAGATGTGGATACTAAATTCCAAAGATCTGTTGGAATACATACGATCTAAGATACGATCTAAGACTCTTTCCTCTTGCAATAGTATTAAAACATTTAACTTTTCTACCCTTTACAAAAGTATTCCCCATTTAAAAAAAAGCCAAAAGACAAATTTGAACGAATTGGTCCTACTTTGTTTTATGAAAATGAATGGCCAACGTAGATATATATATCTTGTCTTAGGGATGTATAATTCGCACTCTGTAAAAAATCACTCTGATTCTAACAAAAATGCTCTAAAACTTACATTATCAAGATGCTTGATTTCATGATTGACAACATATTTGTTACGTTTGGTGGACGTGTTTTTCAATAATCTATCGGCATCTATTCCATCGAATTTGATATAAAGGATACAAAAGATACAGTACGCCTGCCTCATATGTTGACTTACATCTTGAAATTAACAATGATGGTCGGTTGAGAACAAAACTTTACGACAAAAAAGACGATTTCAGCTTCCCAAATGTGAACTTTCCGTTTCTATGTAGCAACATTCCAGCAACCCCTGAATATGGAGTATATATATATATATATAAATAGGTTTTTATCCAACGCAATCATAGGTTTGAACATTGTTTTCAATTAAGACTTGTTTATATTTTTTCGTTTTGGCTTGTATTATATTTGCCTTCGGGTTTATATGATCCGTTCATCCTATTTCGACTCTTAAAATTCAAGAGTCTATCCTAAATTGAGGTAAATTATATGGCCTTCTAAATACCGTTTCGATCCCTAACAACACTGAAGAGACATTGATTGTCGAAATCCGGATATGGTGTACTCATTTTTGCAACTTTTGTTTGCGGTATACCATCTATTCCGCAAGTTTATTGTTTTCTGTTTGGTATTAAATTAATAGTTAAGATCCATTTTGTTACATCTGGTGATCCGTTTATTTGGCAATCGCCAATGGCAGTCAGCAGGGTTTAAGAACATCTGGTGTTCGACCTGTTAGTCAAATGCGTTTTGTTAAAATATACTTTTTCACTTTTTTGGTCCTTTGGAAAATGTTGTTTGTGCTGTATTTAGACCCCTCTACCAAGAAATTTGTTTTGCATGCACACGTATAAAAATTGCGGTTTTTATCCAACGCAATCATAGGTTTGAACGTTGTTTTCAATTTAGACTTGTATATATATATATATTTATATATAGGCCTAAAAAAATAATTTTCACATGTGCAGATATATATATATATTCATAAAATAAATAGTAAAATAAGTAAACAAGTTAACAGTTCCAGTTCAATCAATTTCAACCCGAACTGATTGAACTATATATAAAAAAACCAAGTCCAAATTGAAAACTACGTTCAAACCTATGATTGCGTTGGATAAAAACCGCAATTTTTATACGTGTGCATGCAAAAAAAAATTCTTGATAGAGGTGTCTAAATACAGGACAAACAACATTTTCCAAAAGACCAAAAAAGTGAAAAAGTATATTTTAACGAAACGCATTTGACTAATAGGTCGAACACCAGATGTTCTTAAACCCTGCTGACTGCCATTGGCGATTGCCAAATAAACGGATCACAAGATGTTACAAAATGGATCTTTTAAAATTATTAATTTAATACCAAACAGAAAAAAATAAACTTGCAGAAAAGATGGTATACCGCAAACAAAAGGTGCAAAAATTAGTACACCATATCCGGATTTCGACAATAAATGTCTCTTCAGTGATGTTAGGGAACGAAACGGTATTTGGAAGGCCATATAATTTACCTCAATTTAGGATAGACTCTTGAATTTTGGAGAGTCGAAATATTAGAAATAGGATGAACGGATCATATCAACCTAAAGGAAAATATAATACAAGCTCAAACGAAAAAATATAAACAAGTCTTAATTGAAAACAACGTTCAAACCTATGATTGCGTTGGATAAAAACCGCAATTTTTATACGTGTGCATGCAAAACAAATTTCTTGATAGAGGGGTCTAAATATATCACAAACAACATTTTCCAAAAGACCAAAAAAGTGAAAAAGTATATTTTAACAAAACGCATTTGACTAACAGGTCGAACAACAGATGTTCTTAAACCCTGCTGACTGCCATTGGCGATTGCCAAATAAACGGATCACAAGATGTTACAAAATGGTTCTTTTAAAATTATTAATTTAATACCAAACAGAAAACAATAAACTTGCGGAAAAGACGGTATACCGCAAACAAAAGGTGCAAAAATTAGTACACCATATCCGGATTTCGACAATTAATGTCTCTTCAGTGATGTTAGGGATCGAAACGGTATTTGGAAGGCCATATAATTTACCTCAATTTATATAAATATATATCAATATAAATTGAGGTAAATTATATGGCCTTCCAAATACCGTTTCGATCCCTAACATCACTGAAGAGACATTAATTTTTATACACAATGTATTTGTTATTTGTCAGCAATCTAATTCAACATTTTTTATATACCGTATGGGTTAATGATTCAATTCTAAAGCTTTAACGGTGACGACAGTTATGATGTTACAAGAACGATTGCGTCAATAAGAATTCCAAATAAACAGCACTGAACGATCTAAATTTATAAATATTTAAAAATTGACAACGGTAAAGTAGTTACAACAGAGTCTGCGTATTTAAACATCGCAAACAAACGGCCGTTAAAATATAATAATAAATTTTGACTAAGGTTAACTAGTTGAACGTGGCTTGGTACTTTTACATCCCTCAAAAAATTAAGCAATCTAAATTGGTATATTCAACAGATTTATTTTAGAGATGAGTAAGGTAAAGAAATAGAAACAGAGACTATAATAATAAGTAATATAACCCAAATGTGAAGCACTGCATGGAGTCGAACTACATCTTTTCATTTATCCCATTTGGTGCCAAAGTTGTTAATTTTCTTATCCAAAATCTTTCCCGAGTGAGTCTATCCTCCCTAGACCAAGCAGAGTTGTGGTCAATGATTGTAATGGTCAGTCGATTGAGATCTGCCATAGTGTGGCCAGGGGATCTCAAATGTCGACTGAGAGGGAGGTCTGGCTTGCATTGGTAGTCGCTACGATGACCGTTCATTCGTTTGTGAAACGGCTTTTCTGACTCGCCAACATACTGTTTACCACATTTACACTGTAGGAGATACACAACATTTGTAGTCTTGCAATTAACATTGCAAAATATGGTGTATTCTGTACCAGTAGAGTGACTGTTAAAAGTCTGGGTAAACAGTATTTGTTTGCAAGTCAGACATCGTTTGTTTCCAGCCACCCTTGCAAGAGCCACGGACGAAGAGCCTGCTTGAGAGGATAAATCAGCTCTCACCAGCAAGTCTTTAAGACTTTTGGGCCTACGGACAGCCAGTACAGGTGGCTCGGGAAAGATCTTGGATAGTTTAGGATATTCTTCGATTTCTTTCCAATTTTCGCGGATTAGGTGAGATAAGTTGTCTATATATAAACCAGTTGATACGATATTCCAGAGCTTGCATTTTCTATCAAGGTTTCCTTGATAAAGAGTTGCTGCATACAAGGACACTATTAAACGATGAGTTCCAAGTAGTGAAGTTGAAATCATCCCTTCTTAAATTTTGAAACCGCGAGTTGATTGACTGTTATGGAATATTTCTTTTCACATATGACGACGGGTATGTTCCGACAGTCATAACTACAATCCCATCTCCTTTTCCTCAAATGTCACCTATCGAATCAGACATTATCACCGGGTTTGTACTTACATGGGCAACACAGCGGATGCCACATGTGGAGCATGATCGGTTTACCCTTCTGGAGCACTTGAAATCACCCCTAGTTTTGTTTAAAAAAGTGTGTTCGTGTTGCTCAGTCTATATTTTTATGTGTTGTTCTTTAATTTTTCAATGTCTGTGTTGTTTTTACCGGTAACAGTCTCGTCTACCCTTTGTCATGAAATCCGGTTTCTGTTTCTAATATTTTGGTCAAGTTTCCGGGTTAGAACATTTACTTTACCGATGGATTATCAATTTGGTTATGTCTTAGGGTTAGATAAGAGTCAATTACCAATCCGCTATTTTCTGATGTCCAAGTACAAGTATTTGATGAAACTTATCAACGTATATTTTGTAGTAATACGACGGATGTCGCATGTGGAGTAGGATCTGCTTACCCTGCGGAGAACCTGCGATCACTCCCGCATTTTGGTGGGGTTTGTGTTGCTCAGTATTTGGTTTTCTATGTTGTGTTTTGTATACTGTTGTTTGTATTTTGATCGTTTTTAGTTTTTTGCCTAGCATTGTCAGTTTGTGTTTGCCTAACGCATTTGAATGTCCCTTTGGTATCTTTCGCCTCTTTTTTTGCATTTCTACTGTTTTATTAGTACCTGAAAAAAATAAGCACCCTTGCATCTGGTCCATAAACAATGGTGTGTGGTGACTCCTTTCTTTGTTATACACTAGTCATCGTGAAAACTATTGCAAATTCAACGGATCTTTTTACCGGCATTAACATTCATTGTGGATATATCAAATAATATATATTAGCGCATAAAGTTTTGTTTAGATATAAAAGTATATGTAGATATTGTATGATTGTCAATGAAAAACTATTAAGAAAGACACAAGATCGTTGATGCAACAATGAGCAAAACAAATACTTTAATTATAAAGTGAGTTACTAAAGAAAGGCCCTATCATGAAATAATGCGAAAAAATTCAAACGAGAGAACCAACAGCCAGATTTCAGCTTAAAAAGATAAAAGAAAAACAAATATTGTAGACAGCAACCAATTGCCGTAACTGGCGAAGTTGAACCATTTTTGCGAGCGCTAATCTCTTTCCCATCCTGTGACAATGGTGTACTAACCCAACATTAGAACAAACTGAAAAAAAAACGGATGAAAAGGGCTTGGCGCATCAGATTGGCAGGGTATCATAAGTCTGCGTAGTCAATTTTGGAAGTGCTTCTTGCTTTAAAAAATGCTACATAACTTGCTTACTTATTTCCATTTTTTTAAGGTGAGAACTTTTCATTCGTTATATTCTTGTTTTATGATTTGTTTTTGCTCGTTACTGAGAAAGAAGGCAACATATTATGTTAAAACAGATAATTTTCTATTTTTGTTTCAGATGATAACAAATTTTTAATTAAAATTAATAAATTGAAAGAAATTATCTTGACTTCTTATTTTCTGGACAATTGTCGCTCCAATGACCAATCTTTTCGCAAGGAAAACATATACCGTGCTTCTAGTTTGTGTTCGTGCTTCGCTTTTTGTTATCTGGAACAGGTCTTGAACGCTTGTTTGCCGTTTCCGCTTTTGACTTTCTTTAGGGTCTAGATTGGGCTCTTCATGCGTTTCTTGTCATCAAAATCGTCTGCTATTGGACTCGAAATGTATTTTTGCACTACACGCCATCCTAACTCGGAATAATCCGCTAATTTAATTTACTTTTGGTGCTTATGAACTAAGTCTATACCGTTTGCTATCATTTCATCTGTTGCAAGTACTTTCGACATATTAACTTCAGAAGTATAAGGCAAGGGTAAGGTTTTAGTAAGCTTAGACATTACTTTACTTCTGAAATTTGCAATTATCTGATACAATTTCTTTGATTTTAGTGATTTGTGCATTAAAAATATCCTACTGTGATTGTTGAATATTGATTTGTAAACGGTTCATTCTGGAATCCATCAATATGGTCATATTGTTCAACATGTTCTGCTCTGCTGAGAACTAGCGAAAACATTTTTAACCTCTTTTGCAATGGCTTCTCGAACAGTTACTGACGATTCTAACACGGTGTCAATCTTGACACTATGACTGTTTGGTATAAAATGAAGGATTTCAATATATTTCCCCGCACTTGGAAATATTCACTTGACTAAATTATAAAATTCATACGCATCGTTAATACAAATGTTCCCCGCTATTTCTTGAAACGCGGGATTTCTATTACTTTGTGAAGTTTGTGATGATCTTTAACCCGGTGCTATCTTTCATCACTTTATCGCTTGTGACTTAAAGTCATATGAAACGAGTTTTTTTTATAATTTCAATGTTATCGAAGTTATTGGACCAATGCATGCATTTATACTAATCTAAGTCCTGTATGCACGTTTTTTTATATTTATTACGAATCTGTAACGTATTATCGACAAATAATATTTTATTCAGTGATTGTTGATCACAAGCTTATTAACTTTCGAGTTTGTTGCCGAATTTTACCGGATCGTGACATTGACATTGAGTCGTGATATATTCTTTTTATTTTTATGTGTTCCCATTTGTTAAACTTAAAAAATTTCCTTAACAGTTCTTTAAGAATCAGTTATTACTATTTACCTTCCAGTGCATGTTTGTTTATAATCTTTCATCACGGGTTTCCCTTCGCACTTGCGCTGTGCTATTGCCGAAGTTCTAACGAGAGGTTTCGTAGTTAAGGTCACTGCATACGGGAAATTATCGGCAAATTAGTGTACGGGAAGACAACAATTCAATAGCCGCACATTATAAAGATTTTCATAAAACAAAGGATTTTCTTTTACAAGAAAGTTCACGTACATCCTAGCAATTCAAGTATATAAAACATATTCAACTTTTTTTTTAGATTTGAAGTTTTATATGACTTTAACTCACACGAGACATCATTTCGAGGTCTTCAATCTTAAACCGTCAGAATATACTATACTGATGGTGTCATATAACCTGAAATTCCCTCGGATTTGTTTCTCTTGGATGGAATGTTCCAAATAAACTTGTGAATTCAAAATCACTAGTAAACTATTGTTGCCTCTTTTATACAGAATATACCCCTTATTATTGTACACCGTCGCTCTATAACTCCTTATACTATGCCAGATTTGTGGTGATGAAATATTCGTTCACTTCATTCAAATGATTTGTTAATCAATGCTCTTCAGCTTCGTATTTTATTTTGCCTTTGTTACTTATTTGATTCGAGTGTTTCGCATGAGTATTTTGTAGACGAAACGCGCGTCTGGTGTACAAGCTTTTAATCTTGGCATCTATGATGAGTTTATTGATAGATTTGCCGATAACTGAAGGTCATTTACTTATTTCATATATTTATTTTTCTACCGGACTATATTGATTATAAAAGTGATAGCTTAATTTACAATTTTCTTTCCTTTCAATAGACAGTATTGTTTTGAATCCAAAATGGTGGAAAAGGGGACAACACTTGGTGATTTGAAGGAAAGACTTTTGGATATATCAAAATATTGTCCTACCAAAATATTGAATGCTGTGCGAAACTCTTATAGGGGATTTTTCTGGAACAAAGCAAATCTTGAACAGGACTTACTCTTTCTAGACCATCTCATTGAGGTTCCAGCTATGAATAGAGAAAAGGAAAACTTTGACATAAAAAACTTTGAAAATGCAATCGTCGATTTCATTGAAGTGCTCATCTTTATTACAGAAAAGAAAAACCCCGAAGAGTTCAGCTTTAATATTGTGTCAGTTGGCAGTTTCCCTCTTAATCTAAAAATTCTTGCAATCAACGAATTCGACTTTATCCTGCCATGGATCATACGCTCGGATAACTTTGATAACTCTTACAAAGATTTCATACAAGGAAAAACCGACACCCAACCCGCGGAAAAGTTGGAGTTTCATAAACTTTTTGAAGAAACTATTTCTGATCTCACCAAATCTGACGAAAGAAAAAATGTTGAAATTGATGGTCCGTATTTTACTGGACCTGCTGTAAATATAGAACTTTGCTGGAAGTGCTCATGTGATCATAAACACAAAGTTAGTTTAGATTTTACCATAGCCATAGAAACAGATACAACTGTGGAAACATATTTTGAAAGTAAACTTTCACATTTGAAGAATTCTCCTTTTAACTGCTTAGTAGAAAAAACTAAAAGAGATGGAATTCAACATATATCTATTATTTATGATGGGTTAAAGAATTATGTTGTTACAACTAATCTATTTGACACTTATATGTTCGCAATATGTGATTACCTTTCTATGAACATAAGAATGTGTTACAGAATTCTTAAATTCATACGCGATGTTCTCTTCCCTCGTCATTTTCGACAGAGATGGTATTTTTCGGGCGAAATAAATGATGCCTTTGACCAAGGTGTGTCCTCGCATGTATTAAAACATGTTCTTTTCAGTGAAGTCATCAAGTTTCCGAGAAAAGAGCACTGGAACGAAGGCAAGATATGTGCAAGAATTTCATCGATGTTGACTTGCTTAACTGATGCAAATAGCGATAGCTTTAACTCTAGTTATGATGCCATTGAGTTGAAACTAAGGGATTGTTTCACACAGAGAAATTTTTGTTTACACAATGAAACCTTTTTGTTATTAGAGATCATCATCAAGGATTTACAGGTGATTTTATTGAAAGGAATTCTACCAAAAAATGACGAACAATGCACAACCAGTAACAGTAATAATGGTTTTTACTTATCAGTCAAGGGACGTCTGTTTAAAGTCGAAACGTCTATGATACATAGCTTGCTGTCTCTGTTTGCTGCAAAGATTCCGATAATGAGAAAACACGAATTAGGGTCGGATATTTTAGAAAGCAATTTCGCCAAATGGATTTACAAATATTCGCATTCTTTAACAGAAAAGCTCTTTCTTCTGGACCTGACTACCCACACACCGGAAATGGTTGAAAAGATCGTTGGCTTGTTTAAAGTTGATGTGATAGTTCAAGAAGATTTTTCCTCGAAAAATTATAAAAAGAAAATAGAAAAATTTGAGACCATTTGCCAAGGTTGTGAAATGGAATTTAAGTGGGCTTTAGGAGAATATGCCGGGAGATCTAATCAAATAGTGAATACTTCAGAAAACACTGAAATTTGGAAAAAAGAATTATATTCCGATCTTCGTCAGATTTTTGAATCTGCGAGTATTCATGATATTGCTATAGTTCACAAAAATATTCACAAAAAGGAAATCGACGACGAAGCTCAAAGCAAGAAATTAAAAGAAATCGGTCGCATATTTAGCCATTATTTGCAACAGTTAAAAACCAAAAAAACAACACTTTCTGATCAGTCTATAAAACTTGAAATTTATTTTCTTTTGGAGTGGTATTGGTTGAAATTCATTATGGAAAGTATAAGAGATATGCTGAGTTGAGTCAGTCCTAAAATGAACTTACATCGGACTCACACTAGTACGTATGTTCTATGTACTGATATGAATTGAACACCTTGTGGCAGTATAATATAATTCTTTTTATATACTTTGCAAATAATTGTTTATATTGTGTTATTTGTAAAAAAAGGTATATCAAAGATATATGTCACCTTGATTATTTCAAGCTACATACAGGCTGTGTAAGTTTCTCAGATTTTGAAGGAAAATTCATTATAAAAACATTATCATGTTCAATATGCAAATGAACACTGTTTGCACCACGCTTTTAAGTCCGGCCATTTTTTTTTTTATGTTAGCCCATTATTACATTCTATATTTATGAAAAAACTTGATTTTGAAAATGTTTAATAGTGCGGCATTATCTTTTAATGTACTATCATGGAAGTATTAAATTGTCAAATACTTCCATGATATTATCAACTATAAAAATATTTTTCTTGGCGTCTTTGGCAGAGGTATTTATAAGTTTGTTTGCAATTTTAGTCAGTTGTGTTGTATGTCTGTTATATATGTTGACACAGTTTTTGATGTCGGGTCCCAACTATTGTCACATAAACCTATTAAGTCTGTTTTTGTATATATAAAAAGAAGATGTGGTATGATTGCCAATGAGACAACTCTCCACAAGAGACCAAATGACACAGAAATTAACAAGTATAGGTCACCGTACGGCCTTCAACAATGAGCAAAGCCCATACCACAAAGTCAGCTATAAAAGGCCCCGAAATGACAAATGTAAAACAATTCAAACGAGAAAACTAACGGCCAGTTGCTCACCAAATGTTGTAACGGAACTATAAACAACAGTCATACAAGTGGGAGCTTTAGCTAGCTATAAAACCAGGCTTAATCCACCAATTTATTCGGAAATGCCTGTACCAAGTCGGGAAAATGACAGTTGTTTTCCATTCGTTCCGTTGGTTATTGTGGTCTATCGTTTGATTTTTCAGGTTTTATGGATTTCCTCATTTTTGAATTTACCTTGGAGCTTTTTTTTATCAGAATAATTGATATGACAGTCCCTAGATTTAGTTCTTTAGTAAAACTGCTACTACAGCCCCTAGCTCAATTCCTTTGTGTAATTTGCTAACACGGCCACTAGTTTCAACCTAAGCAGTACGTTTTGGTATAATTGTAAAGACAGTCTTTAACTTCAACTCTCTGGTATTACTGCTAAATACAATATTACCAACGATGTAGTCCTTCACCTCAATATAAGGTGTCCTGATATAAGTTTGAAGACAGTTCTTAGCTTCCCTGAACAGTACTATAGTGTATAACTGGTAAGAAAGCACCTAGCAGTACTATAGTGTATAACTGGTAAGAAAGCACCTAGGTTCAACTCTTTGAATGGACTTTTTAATGTCCAGAGGAAATTTAAATGCATATCTAGGACGAGAACATGGTTATGATATAAAGATAACTTCAACTCTCTGGTATTACTGCTAAATACAATATTACCAACGATGTAGTCCTTCACCTCAATATAAGGTGTCCTGATATAAGTTTGAAGACAGTTTTTAGCTTCCCTGAACAGTACTATAGTGTATAACTGGTAAGAAAGCACCTAGCAGTACTATAGTGTATAACTGGTAAGAAAGCACCTAGGTTCAACTCTTTGAATGGACTTTTTAATGTCCAGAGGAAATTTAAATGCATATCTAGGACGAGAACATGGTTATGATATAAAGATGAACCCTATTTTGTACTAGACTGACATGCTGCTCCGAATCTTTAACGTGCTAGGTCATAAGGTAACAGTCCTAAGGAAGACGTCATCTCTCGAGCTCCCAGACACATTCCAACTCCTAACCAACCATGTTTTTGCTGTTTCTTCTAAATGCCACGTGCATAGCTGAAAAGCGGTAAATACCAATGTTTAAGTCTTTTGACCCATCTGGATTTCACACCAACAACCTCCTACACTTGAAGTGAGGACATTATCGCTAGTCAACCGAAGCGGTTATTTTTTTTTAGATATAACTGCTAAAGTCAACCCCTACCTGCAAGTTCAGCAGTATGTTTGGTACAACTGAAAAGACAGTCCTAGCTACAACATCAACAATCTTGATATAACTGCTAAGACAGCCCTTACTGCAAGTTAAGCAGCATGTTTAGTACAACTGATGAGACATAAGACTAACAAAGGGAAGAGGTTCCTGATTTGGGACAGGCGCAAAAATGCGGCGGGGTTAAACATGTTTTGTGAGATCTTTAACCTCCCCAATACCTTTAGCCAATGAAGAATAAATAAACACACAGCAAAACTCAAAGTAAAATCCAGTTTAAAAGAAGTCCGAGTCCGATGTTAGAATAGTAACCGGAAGAAACAAAGCAAAATGACAATGATAAACATAAATTAACAAAGGACTGCAATCAGTTAGTGACATGCCTGCTCAAGACTTCAATAAATCTGATTGAAAGATTATTTCTTCGTCATATGAAAATCAACCACTATTCATTCCGTTTCGGGTTGAGTATCATGACATCATAAATTATACGAAAAGAGCATAACCCGTCTCATGCCAACAACTGGTTTTAGAATAAATGTGTTTATTTCCGATTAAAAGACCCTTTGAGTGAACCAATATTAATTCCAAAAAATGCCATTATTAATGAGCTAACAACAGTATCGTAACTATATCCCTTCTGAATAAGTCTGTTTAAAGGTTTGGTTAGCTTTTGGAGTGAATGGCGACTTTTTTTTGTGCTTTGTATATAGAATATGACCACAAAATATGGGATGTGAAATACCTGAACGCATAAAATGTCTGCACGTTGATTTACATTTACGAATGATGGCCTTGAAGCGATGATAACATCTAGTTAAAGATTTGACAAGTTTGTGATTTCAAGAACCCTGGTGAAATAATTTTTCAGTACTAAATAGATTTCTTTCTTTAAAATCAAATACGTTGTTACATACACGAGAGAATTGAGAAAGTTGAGATATATAAACACCATATATTAAAAAAAATACTATAATGCCAAGGAAACGTAACCATCCAAAAACGGATAATTAACAATAGGCAATAAAAGGAATCTCTTCTATCGTAAGCTTACCGTTAGAGACAAAGATATCATGATCACGGAAAGGGCAGTGTTTATTGTTAGTATTAACTTTATTCAAAGTAAGTTCAACTGGATAAATATCTTAGTGTACATTGGCGTCATTATTGAGAGCCAAAATATCATCCAAATTTCTAAAAATGTTATTTAATTGTTTGTTTCAGATGTTATTTCGATGTTGTTGGGTTTTTTTGCGGATTTTAGACATAATTGGGATTCGTAACAATACAGAAACAAGTCCGCAATAAGTAGTGTACAGTTAATCCCCATTGGAATTCTGATAACTTGGTGATATACGGAATCTCCACAGCGAACAAAAATGATATCTAGTAAAAATTCAAGTACAGTTATCATATCAAAGCAGACCCAATTAACATATTTATTTTGTTTGTTGTTATTAAAAATAACCTAAAAAGAGTTTGAAAATATATATATTTTTGTATCTACATGTTATAATCCCATATGATTACGTATGTGAATTTTTTTTCTTAATGAGATAAGAGGCAAAGTGGTATATAGGGAAGAGAAGTCAAAACTTTGAACCGATTCGAAAGCAACAATAGGAGCATGCAATTTATCAAGTACTTCCAACGATTTGTTGACACTCCAAAAGTAATTAATTCCACTATTTTCTTAGACCTTATTTGAAAATTTATTACCAGGTTTTTTATTGTACCAAGCGTACTAGTAATTAAAATAGACAGTTTAGTAGTGGAATGATGACTTGAGGACGAAATAAATCTATATTTGTCAGATGTTTTGTGCAGCTTCGCAAGCCAATACATACTTGGAACTTTCATGTTAATCGGTTCTTTGTAATTCATTACATGATAAGGTAAAAATCCACCGCTCTGCAACAATTATTTAAAAAGGAATCCATATGTCACTTGAATTGTTCCAGTGAAGAACTATTCTTAATTTTAGTGAGTTCCATTTTATGTCTGAATATGTACCTTTGTATACTCACTTGTAAAGGACTTCAATTGGAAATAAATTGTATGGCTTTCAAGGGTTATGCTTGATTGGATAATTGAGCAAGCATTGGTATATTGAAGTTTCAATAATCAATTATAGGTTTTACTTTTTACGTTTATTTTAGTAATACCTGTGTATAGTGTTGATATTTTTTAGCTTAATATAGTTTTACCGCTATCTTTTTTTAGGTTCAACCTAAGCAAAAGTACTATGTAATAACTGCTTATAAAGCCTCTATCTGTAGCCTAAGACTTTGGTATAACTACTAAGACAGCCACTATATTCAACTTAAGCAATCCTGTTATGCATTATTTCTGAAACAGCTTTTAGTTTCAACTTAAGCGGTACTGTCATACAAGTGAGAGGTTTAGCTAGCCATACATCCAGGTTTAATCGACCATTTTCTACACAAGAAAATGCCTGTACCAAGTCAGGAATATGACAGCTGTTTTCCATTCGTTAGATGTGCTTGAGCTTTTGAATTTGCCATTTTATAAAGGACTTTCCGTTTCGAATTTCCCAATGGAGTTTTGTATTTTTTTTAGTTTACTTTCTTTTGGTATAACATTTACTATATGTAGCAACACTCCAAATCGCCAATGGCAGTCAGCAGGGTTTAAGAACATTTGTTGTTCGACCTGTTAGTCAAATGCGTTTTGTTAAAATATACTTTTTCACTTTTTTGGTCTTTTGGAAAATGTTGTTTGTGCTGTATTTAGACCCCTCTAACAAGAAATTTGTTTTGCATGCACACGTATAAAAATTGCGGTTTTTATCCAACGCAATGATAGGTTTGAACGTTGTTTTCAATTTAGACTTGTTTATATTTTTTCGTTTGGGCTTGTATTATAATTGCCTTCGGGTTTATATGATCCGTTCATCCTATTTTGACTCCTCAAAATTCAAGAGTCTATCCTAAATTGAGGTAAATTGTATGGCTTTCCAAATACCGTTTCGATTCCTAACATCACTGAAGAGACATTAATTGTCGAAATCCGGATATGGTGTACAAAAACAAAAACCTTTGCACCTTTTGTTTGCGGTATATCATCTTTTCCGCAAGTTTATTGTTTTCTGTTTAGTATTAAATTTTTAATTAAGATCCATTTATTACATCGGTGATCCGTTTATTTGGCAATCGCCAATGGCAGTCAGCAGGGTTTAAGAACATCAGTTGTTCGACCTGTTAGTCAAATGCGTTTTGTTAAAATATACTTTTTCACTTTTTTGGTCTTTTGGAAAATGTTGTTTGTGCTGTATTTAGACCCTTCTAACAAGAAATTTGTTTTGCATGCACACGTATAAAAATTGCGGTTTTTATCCAACGCAATCATAGGTTTGAACGTTGTTTTCAATTTAGACTTGTTTATATTTTTTGGTTTGGGCTTGTATTATAT